CCACTGTGTACACAGCCAAGGGAGGTCAGAGACTACACTTTTCCAGAAATATGCAGAGGAATGTATATCTGTACTTACCCACAGAAAATCACACCCTCTGACTGGACCTCCCTGATTTGGCCAAACTCTTCATTGCCTCTTTAATCCATGGAACTTCCTCGTGAGTTGCCACTGGACACAACCTGTTAGGTGTTTACACTCCTAAGATCTGCAAAACGAGCTGCTCTAGCCTGCCCTGGGCTTGTCTTCAGACACAGCTTCTGTCAGAGTAGCTGGAAGCCTTTCCCACGCACATCACATCATGACTTGGGCCCACGGGTGCTGACTGACTGTCTGACTGAATGGAGACACAACCAGGTTGATACAAGCACTTCACGAGCTCAAATACTGGCACCAGTTTACTGAAGGTGCGCTCTGAGTCGGACCCTCAGAGGAGCACAGTGTGCAACAATAAATGAGATGAGCTTCCTGCTCCAGAGCAATTCACAGCCCAGAGAGAAAAGTCCGAGCAACATACCTTCTGCACCTGAGAGATACACGAGTCCTGGTGAGAGCTCAGGAAAGGGAGAGACCTGCTGGAGCAGTGGAGCCTGGCCAGCAGCTCAGGCAGGGGCCACCCCTTCTTCATCATGCTGGAGAGGCAGGGAGAGTGAGTCTCCTGCTGTTTATATCAGCGGGTTGACAAGGAGGGAGCGAGGGAGGAGACACGGATGGAAAAGCTGGAGCATTCACCTGCCTTCACGTTGCCCACATGTTGAAATAGCAGGACCTAAACATATTTGTAACCTAGGTATGTTTTCCAATGGAAACCAACTAAAACTGACTCCATTTCGATGAGTCCAAACCTTCAGAACCATCTGGAAGAATCAGCAGAGGTCATGATCTCAGGTTTCAGTGTCAGAGAAACGTTCAGTAGCTCCTCCTTGGAGTTAAAAACGTTGGTTTTTCAGTTACTTGCAGTTAAAGACTGGAACAACCAGCAGCGTCAGCACCATTGCTCTGAGGAAGGAGACAAACAGCCCCCACCCCACCGGGAAGGGGTGTTTCTCAGTGAGAGTATATCAGGTGCCTTAGGTGTTTGGAGAATAGTTCAAGAAAGAATGTTTTGATCTGGCTACCAGAGAACATTGCTATTCTACTTAATACCTTTGTCCATTCACAGGAGGTAAGGAGCAAGAAAAAGGAGCAGCAGGCACACATTCACTGGGGAGAGGATTACCTGGTCTTCTTGCAGGTAAGACCACCTTCCTGCTTTGCCCACGCTCAAGCATGATTGTGAGCTGGATTTGGTCTCATTCCATCTTAGCTCCAGGGTGATCTTGTCTGATGTTGCTATTCTACAAAAGTGTTCTGTTCCAGGACTGCTTTTGCTCCCTTGAACTCATAAACCCACACAGTAGACTGAGGAGTTTCATTAGACGAAGGCACTAGGAGCATAAAGTAGCAGAGGGACAAGAGAGTCCAGAGAGCAGTGACTGTCCTCCAAAATTTACACTTGTAATTAACAACCACTGGAGCCTCTCAAAAGGCACATTGCCGGCTTGAAAATAAAAATGAAAAGACAATTCTATAGTTTTCTTTTTCTTTCTGGCTTATTTTACTGAGCATAATCTTTTCCAGCTCCATCCATGTGGCTGCAGAGGGCATGGGCTTATCTTTTTTGATTGCTGAGTAATATTCCATGATATAAATGTGCAGCACTTTCCTGATTCAGTCATCTATTTTTGGGCATTTGTGTTGTTTCCATGGCTTGCCTATTGTAAATTGTGCTTCAATAAACATAGGGGAGCAGATCCTTTTTCAAAAAAAAAACTGAATTAATGTTTTTGTGTCCTTTGGGTAGACTATTGATCCCCCACTTATTTATCTAAGTATATTTGCAGAGAATCAATAGGCCACAAATATCTATTTGCTTCAGATCTCTGTTTTTTCATGGATTTGGTTATCCATGGATTTTGGTTTCATGGATTTTGGTTATCCTGTGTCAAGACCATATTGTCACATACTTGCTTTCTAGTAAGCCTTGAAATCATGTCCATTTTAGAAATAGTTGTCGCTTTCTACATATAAAACGTAGGTATTTTATGAATAATATGAATTTGTATATTTATCTGAGGAAGAGGCTGGTAACTATCAATGATAATCAGATTTTGATCATTTTTTCCTCCTTTGTGTCATTGTGGAGAGTTTCAAGCGTTGTGTCTTCAAGCTCGCTGACCTTTTCTACTGCAGTGTTTAATCTGTTGATCACACTCACTGTCATTCCATTTCTTATTGTGCTTTTTTCATCTCTATAAGCACCACTGGGGTCCTTTTTATGTCTCCCATTTCCCCCTCCTCAAATATTCCTTAACATGAGAAACAGAATTGTTATAGCAATTTAAAGTCCTTGTCTGGCCTTCCAACATTTCAGCATTAACATGTTTTTATTTTTACTTCTTTGTATAATGCAAGATCTTATATGCAGAGGTTATTTCAAAGAGGTGAAAGAAAGGGTCTGTTGTAATAGTAAAAGAGGTATTACCCTAATCAGAAAGACATTTTGACCATCATGTCTGCAAGCATCTCTACTAGGTCTATTTTTACTGATGCATTTCCTTTGGGTTATGGATTGCATTTTCCCTCCTTCTTTGCCTGTCTTGTTTTTTAGTGGATGATAAACAATGTGAGATATAGAGTTAGTTGCTGTAGCTATTTATTGTATTTCCTTCAAGTGCATAATAAAATTATTGGAATTAGTCAGCCACTTCAAAACTTCTAAGCAGTGTTGAGATGGATCTAGAACAGGGGCCTCCCTGGTGGCGCATGGGATTAAATCTCAGCACTATGTAGCTATTAGTAGCCACTGCAACACAAGTTCGATCCCTGGCCAGAGAGATAACCTACAAGGTGAGCAGACCTCTCCGGTCTCACCTACAACTCTCTGCAGCAGAGTACTTCAGTAGATCAACCTGTTCTTTCCCCCACTCTATCTCTGATGAATCCTCTCACCCTCCCCCCACCCCTAGCCTATACCCCAGCTCTTGTATACATAAATAAATAAAACAAAATATAGGTGTAGAACAGACAAATCTGAATTTAACTCTCCTGCTAAGCCATAATAGCATCTTCCCCAGGACACTTAGGTTATGTGATCTGTTCCACTCTACCCTGTGGGAACACAAACTTTCCACATTCTCCTGTGAGCTATAGGAATATTCCCACCTATTCTTTCTATGGCTCTTTCCTTTGGCTAAAGCACTATGTCAGTTTCCTCTGGTGGGTGGGCAGGTCAGCAGTGAGGCAAAGCTCTTCCTCAGATGTCCTCAGATTTCTCTCTCCGCCCCCCTCCCCCCTGCTGGCCTCTACAAACCCACACCTATGTGCTGGAGCCAAGGAGCCCCTGCACTCGCCCTAGCTTCGATTTCTGAGCTCAGCCTAGGAAGTGCCTTCAAACACAAAGCCCTGCGTGGATACATTTCTCCTTTTTAATTTTCTTTTTCTGAGGGATCACAGATTCCAAGCTAGGCTGCCGGTGACCGCCAAGGAACATGGCTGCTTCACCAATTTTTTAGTTTTGTCTTTGCTTCAGATGGAACGTAGCTCCAGACCCACCCCATTGCCCTAAATTAACCAGAGTAGAGGGCCCATCGCTGCCATCGTAACTTTATGAAGCTATTCATTTCTGGCCTGGGACTGGAATGTTCTGCCTGGCTGGTTTGAACACCTCAGTGCCTTTGCTTAGAAGGACTTTGTCCTCCCCCAAAGATCACTGACCAAAGCAGAACACTTAACGGAGTTTCTTCTTCTTCTTCTTCTTTTTTTTTTTTTTAAGATTTATTTATTTATGCATAAAAGAACTGGGGTACAGGTGCTGAGAAGTCTCACCAGAGACAGAATGGGGAGCAGAACAGGCAGATGGACAAAGTACACTGATGAGGGGGAGCAGCAGGTGAGACAGGAGAGGTCTGCTGCGCCAGGTGGGTCCGCTCCCTGGCCGGGGATTGAACTCACGCTACAGTGGCCATGGACAGCTTCATAGTTCTGTGCTAACCCCTTGTCCTACCAGGGAGGGCCCCTTGATACATCTTCTTTTCTGTATTTGATGTACATCAGGTTGTTTTAGGTTAATATTGTTTTCATTTAATTATTTTCTTACATCTTTAAAAAATTTAGTTTAATTTTTTTTATTAATTCATATATATGTTGACATCATTGTTCATTTGAAAGCAATGTTTTACTACCCCAAACTGGAGGCAGTGAGTCAAATATGTGCAAATGCTACTATACACTGCTGAGTGGCTTAAATAGTATGAATTTCAGACCCCAGAGTGAGGTGAGACAATATGGTGAGTCTCACCCTAATGGAGGCCAATGCCAGCAGAACTGACCTGGCAGCTTGAAGAGGGGAATGATCCTTGGCATTTTAGATCACATCTAAATACGCAACATTAAAACAGTGTGTAAAAACTGTAAAACAGCAGCACTTTAATGCGCACAGGGAGAAGGAGGAGAGAGCAGAAGAGGATGGGTGGGAAGGAAGAACAGAGCAAAGGCGTGGTACCCACTCATTAGCTCCTGACAGAGCCTCTTCTATACAGTGATTTCGTTCACCAATATTAAGGTATTTAATCTTCAGAAAATTTCTGACTTGGATAGAGCTATAATCCCAGCTGCCTGGAGGAACCAAGCACCAAGAGGTTAAGTTCCTTTCCCGAGGTTACCTGGCTTCTATCCACAGTGTGGAGAATCACTGAAAATTCCAAAATCTGGTAGTATTTCTATTTAAACGTGGGCTGGCTAACCCAAAGCAGAGCCGGGGCTGGACCTCACCGGGCTTTGAGAAGGTGAGTGACGACTCAGAACGTGGCTCCCCACCGCCTCAGATCTGCTGAGGACCCGCGAAGGGGACACCCGTGCACACACAGGACCCAGGCTGCCAGGCGCGCAGACTGTGCTCGCTGGGGCTCCCCCTCCACCCCTGCCTCTCTCCTGGCTGTCTCCAGGCCAAGCGGCCCACGATGTTCCCGTTGCAAGGCGCCCAGATGCTGCAGATGCTGGAGAAGTCCCTGAGCAGGAGCCTCCCCGAGTCCTTGAAGGTGACAGTGGGCGCTCCTGGGCAGCAGGGGAGGCGTCCCCCGAGGGGAGGAGAGGGCTGGAGCCGCCCTGAGCCGCGCAGCCTCTGCTGCAGGTGTCCCCTGGTCTGGCTGCATCGTCTCCTCCGAGGCACTTGCCGTCAGGCCTGGTCGCTGTGGAGGAGCCGGAGGCTCAGGGGGGCCCGGCCAGAGGGGCAGGTGAGCTGCAGCGCTCTGGGGGACACAGGCGTGCCTGGGCCCAGAGCTGCCTGTTCTCTGGGCTCCGGGCCCCCACGGGCGCGTGGGGTCAGGGCCTGTTCCTCTGGGTCACGTTCAAAGTGGCGAGCCAGTTGCCTCAATACATCGAAAACTGAGCGACACAAAAGCTTCCCCTTGCTGCTCCCCGAGAAATAGCCCCTCACTGCGCCTGATATTTGCCCGGAGTTTTCCTCCCAGCTGGCTGAGACTGTCTATCACCATTCACTCTCCTCCCTGGAAGAACAGTCGCCTGGTGAGAGTTTACCTGCCCAGGGTTTTCTTTGAAGATCACTGGTCAGCCATGGTCAATTCCTACGATTGTTGACTCACACTTTCCTTTGCTGAGCAGTTACTGCAGGTCAGACCGTCTTGTGACTGGTTGCCAGGAACGTGATGGAAATCTCAGGATTAAGAGAAACAGACACAGAGAGGCTGTGTAAAAGCAATCTGATGATGGAACGATTCTTGGTTGTGTTTTTCTTTAGCAACTTAAGAACTAGGACACCCCCAGTGGAAACTAAATTAACCTAATGTGTGTGGTATGAAATAAACACACACACATACATATATGTATATGTGTGTATACTGAGAAACTCCCTTTTTCCAGTTGCACATTAAAAGTGTATATTCACCTTCATTGAAATCCAGAGTAGCTGTACACCAGGTCTTTTATAGACACAGCCTGAGGCCTGCTTCAACAATTTCATCCTTTCTTTAGTGTCAGGTGCTAAGCACAGCCCAAGGCACATTTCGGTTCCAGTGGAGTCAGCTGGACTAGTGCTTGGCTCACCACGGTCTGAGTTCCGTGGAAAAAGAAAGTTTTAATAAATGAAATGTGCCGTCTCACCCGTTTCTCTCACACAATTGTGTGACTGCACAGATCACCTTGCAGGGGGTGATGGGGGTGCTCTGCCCTCCCTCCCTAACCAGCTGAACCCCCTATTTTCCTGGGGTGCTACAGGTCTACGGGACCATCTTCCACATGAACCAGGGAAACCCCTTCAACCTCCAGGCCCTGGTGGACACGTGGCCTGACTTCAGCACCGTGGTCGTCCGCCCCCAGCAGCAGGTGAGGGGGCCAGGGAGGGCACCTCTGCTCGGCCTTGCTGTCCTCAAGCAGGAAAGCCAACTCAGGGTCACAGTTCAACGCTGCTTGTTTCTGAATGTTCCTCTCTAAGCTGCCATCTGCACGCACCAGAGCTGTGTGGTGGGATCTGGGGTCCCCTCCTGGACCACTCCTCGGTCTCAGTGACTCCTACAGTCTCGTGTCCTTTGCCACTTTAAAATACAGGCCCAGATGTTTTTCTTTTCTAGACGACTTTTAGGCTCTTGATGCCTGTGAGTGTTGGGGGGGACTGAGGGTGACATGGCGTCACGGGCTGGGAGCTGCTCTCTGCTTCTCAGCACAGTCTTGTCCTGCAGTGTTTACACCTACATCATTCGGGGCTGGAGCTCAACTTCCTCCACAACTATTATTGCTGTGACAGATGAAGAATTTACCCCCCTTTCCCCGATTCCCACAGGAGATGACGGACGACCTGGATCACTACACCAACACCTACCAAGTCTTCTCCAAGGACGTCAGGAAGTGCCAGGAAGTCCTGGCCTCCCCGGAAGTCATCAACTGGAAGCAACACCTGCAGATCCAAAGTCAGTCACACCTCACCCCGACCTGCACTGTCTCCCGTGACCGGGGCCCCCTGGGCGGCCTGTACACACTCAGCCAGCCGGCAGGTGTTTGACTCGGGTGCAGCCTCACCCGAGAAGCAGAGAGATCGCGCTCAGCTCACACAGAACAGGCTCCTCCAGGGAAGCCTCACTGTCTCCTGATGACTCAGGGTCACGGGTGGACCACAGGGTAATGACGCAAGCAGAGTCCCAGGGTGACAGCTGGTGGCAGTGCAGCCTGGTGATGGGCTCAGTGCTGGGCCACCAGCAGCCCCGAGTCAGTATCGGGGCCAAAGGGCTGTCACTAGCCCGTGGCCTGTGGCCGACCCCCTGCAGGTAATGCTCGCCTGTGTGTGAGGAGGGAGTTGGCGGAGGAGACTGAGTGGAAGTCTCACCAGGGCCCTGATAGCGCAGCCCTCAGGGGGTCCGTTCACGCTCCCCACTTGCTCAGCCACTTCGGGAATCCCCCCGGCTGTCTGATTTCTCGGCACTTCTGCAGTCTCCCTGGGTGGGCTCAGGCAGCCACTGGCAGGGAAGGTTCCCAACTGGGAGCCACAGGTGGGGGTGCGGGGGGGGCTGAGCATCAGCTCTGGCTGAGGGGATCTCAGGGCTGGCACCCTCACTGGGCTGCTCTGCAGACAGCTGAGCTCCAGAGCCCCCAGCCTCAGGCAGGTGTGCGTGGGGCTGTCCCTGGCCCATGGAGGAGGCAGATGTGGCTGAACAGGCAGTTGGGACCCGCCCCTGGGGTGAGACGGGGATGGCGACCCACCAGTCCCCTCACAGCCCAGAGAAGAGCAGGACATGCTAAGCCCCGGGCACGGAGCGCCCTCTGTGCATAACTATGAAGCCACAGGGCTGTGTGCAGAGCTGGGACCCCACCGCACGTTGTGATTGCGAATTTCTAGGTACCATGTCACTCCCCCAGGAAGAGAGGGTGCACAGCCCCACGAGAGGGCGGCCTGTCACTCAGAGCACCCCCAAGCCCACAACGAAGACTCTGTCCCCAAAGCCAGACACCCTCCCACCAGGCAGCGTTCCCCCCGGGGATCCACACAGCTCCTTCTCTGCTCCCCACCCCCAGGTACACAGTCCAGCCTGAACCAGGTGATCCAAAGTCTTGCAGCTGCTAAATCCCTGCAAGTCCAGCACTCCCAGAACATCCTCTTTATGTGGGCAGAGACTGTAAGGAAGCTGGCTCCTG